GCGGAAACGTGAAAAGTGAAAAGTTTCACGTGAACTTGTGATCACATAACTCGGCGAAATGTGGAAACGTGAAACTTTTCACGTGAACTTGTTAGCCATGAAATGTGCTGGTGGAAAAGTGAAAATCTAGTGACATGATGAATACGGAATATATTATGCTACTGCTATGATGAGATACAGGAAACATAACAATCCTAAGATTATAGCAATGTTTTTAAGGTTATATGTTCTACAGCCGATGGATATAGTTGATTTGGCCAATATTGAAATATATAGGAACCATGTTTAGTGATTTGTGCTTTTCACGCATAGAGTTACTTGATTGCGTGAACAATGAAAAAGTTCACGTGAAATCGATAGAGCGAAAAGTGAAAAGTGAAAAGTTCCATTCGAAGTTAGGTGATCGCTGCCCAGGACTGGTATTCCGTTACCGTTGTTCCGACAGTTGTCGGATCAGTAGGCGTCGTTGCGCAGTTTTTCCACGGTATAAAAAAAGCTGCGCAACGACGCCTACCGATTCGACAACTGTCGGCACGCGGGAATGGAATAGTACCCCTGGGTAGTGATCACGTAACTTCGAGCGGAACTTTTCACTTTTCGCTCTATCGATTTCACGTGAACTTTTTCATTGTTCACGCAATCAAGTAACTCTATGCGTGAAAAGCACAAATCACTAAACATGGTTCCTATATATTTCAATATTGGCCAAATCAACTATATCCATCGGCTGTAGAACATATAACCTTAAAAACATTGCTATAATCTTAGGATTGTTATGTTTCCTGTATCTCATCATAGCAGTAGCATAATATATTCCGTATTCATCATGTCACTAGATTTTCACTTTTCCACCAGCACATTTCATGGCTAACAAGTTCACGTGAAAAGTTTCACGTTTCCACATTTCGCCGAGTTATGTGATCACAAGTTCACGTGAAACTTTTCACTTTTCACGTTTCCGCCCTAGGAGAAAAGTTACTTGATCGCTACCCTAGTCCAGACTCTGTATTCTAGGGTCTCTAGTACTAACGTTTTGACGATGTAAACCAGGCCTATAGAATTTCAGTCCTAGCAGTGAATTTCGGAACTCAGTCTCTATTGAATGGTAGTAGCATTGAATATATTGGTTCCCGGTCACCGTGAGATTGAAGGAAACGAAGAAGCGGATAAATTAGCCAATACAGCTGCGGAAAATTCTATAATTAAAATCCCCAATAAAATCCATCTTTTGTGGAGACATCATTTCTAATCTTTCTCTGGACTTCAGGAAAAGCACAGAATTATCTTGAAGAACAATTTTCGTTTAAAGGTCAAAGACCGCTCTCGCATCAATAATCTTTCAAACAGGCTCTGGTTTGAGGAATACAAGTTTGTTAAAAAGAATGTTTTCTCCTTGATTGCACGTATGAAATCGTTTCATATTAGAACGAGTATTCACTTGTTATGGCTCCTGCACACAGGACGTGGTAATACTTGCCGCGCGGCGGAAGTTCGCGCAACAGCCAATCAATATGCTGCTTTCCGTAATAACCTTCTAGCTCTTATGGAAAAACAGCATATTGATTGGCTGTCGCGCGGACTTCCACCACGTGGCAGCATTATCGCGTCCTGTGTGCAGGAGCCATTAGACAAGAACATAATATCTGAAGAATTCTGTCCTTGCGGAGCGGAAAATAAAAACATCACATTTAATTCTCATGCAATTTATATCATGACGAAAGTGATAAACTAACCACTCAATTATTTATGGAAAATGTAACACCCTGGAATGACTTATCCCAAAAGGCGTTTGAAAAAACAACAAAGATATTCACAATATTATCAAAATTTCTAAACAAGATTAAATACATACTCTGAATTTACCGCCAAGCGCCATCTACGACAGAAATCATTATTCGGAGCAATGGCGTAGTGGTTCGATAGATAGGTGCCTCGGCCATATATTGAACTGAACGTTGAATATATCTATTATATAATGGTATTTAACTGAACCAGTTTCTTACTTTTCCGATTTCAGCAAATAGTTGCGAGATTTGGAAAAATGTCTGTCAGCAGAATAATTGTGAGTACAAAAACATGATACAGGTGCATTCGAAACATGTTCAGTTTTTAAAATATATTTATTGCCATGTCAATTGTATCATTGCTATTTTACTAATTACATGGATTGCGTTTGTAAGTGTCAATATTTTCCGTTATAGGCACGAAATTTCTCTTCGTCGGTCATTACACAACAACTTGTAAAGGTAATATTTATAGTTCACAAGACAAATGTATTTTCTAAAACTGAAAGCTTTACATATTTTAGTTTCTATATTTGTAACTTTCTGTAATTGTAACTTTCATATAAATTTTTCATAAATATAATGTGTCACATTTATACACACAAAAAAATATATAATACTTTATTTTTTCATGTGCAACATAGCCTCCAATTCAAGTTTTTGGATTAGAAGGCAGATATGCAACAGCTCTTTTTTCAGCTGCATCCAAACAAAAGTCTCTTGATGCAGTGGAAAAGGATTTGGTTAATTTTCAGGTATAATTATTGTATAAATAGTTATTATCTTTGTATATATATTTATTTATAATATATTTATAATCTATTTTTTAATGTGTATATATCAAAAATAGGATCTCCTGAAAAAAGATACTAAATTAGCAGAATTTATAAAAGATCCTTCAATAAAACGGAAAGATAAGTCAGAAACTTTTAAAGTTATTGGTAGTAAGGTTAGTATGAATGGAGCTACTGCAAACCTGTTGACATTACTAGCAGAGAATGGCAGATTGGGGAAAATCAATCAAGTCATTAATTTGTATAAATTAATCATGGCTGCTAATAGAGGAGAAGTAGTGTGTGAAGTGGTTACTGCTAAACCACTAGATGTGGATATGAAGACAAAATTGGAATCAGCTCTCAAAGGTTTTTTGAAGAAAGGGCAAACTATTTTGCTCACAACCAAAGTAGATCCTTCTATTATTGGTGGTATGCTTGTGTCAATAGGTGACAAGTACGTAGATATGAGTGTGGCTAGTAAAATTAAAAAGTATAGTGATCTCATCCAAGCTACGGTATAATTGATTGAGATATTTTTCTGGTAAGATAAAGTAATAAAGCACACTCCATCACATATAACTGTATTTGAATGTTATATGTAAGTTATTGAACAATGAATAAAATATAAACTTCAACATACAAATGTGTAATTATTATAAAATAAAATATAACAATATAATTCTTGTATAGTAGTCATATAATAGTTATATAGTTCTTGTATAGTATTCATGTTTGATTAATATAATATTAAACATTTTCAATGTGTGTGTTTATACTTATCAATTATAAATGGCTTAATATTAATTATGCTAAAATTGAGAGAGAATGACTAGTATTATCTTCCAATATCATTATTATATAAAATATAGCAATACAAATGTAAATGTATATTTGTATACTTCTGGTATTTTAAACTTGTAGCAGCTTTATTTCTTTATAACTTAAAAAGCATTTTTATAATTGACAAAATTACTTGATACAATTACATAGATATTTTGTTATCTATTTCAACAATAATTTGTAGTTTTTTATATAAAATATAATGCATTAATAACTAAAATAAATCAGATAGTATAGGATTCTTATATATAATATTTTAATATATAATATTTTATATATAATATTTTAATTTTTCTTATTTAAAAACAAGTATATATTAAAGTGGATATCAATAAATGATTGTGTAAAACATATAATAATGTAGTAATGTAGGAAATATGTAATAATGTAGGAAATATCAAATCTATAATATATAAGATGGAACTATTGATTTTATACTAGAACTTATAAATTTGTAACACAAGGATGTATCGCCAAATGTGGCAGAATTCACATTCAGAATGTCAACATGCAATAATTTACAAGATAATGTTAAAGTTTTGTTTAATTGCATTATCTTTATACATTCTTAAAGTAAATAGTAAATAAATTTACACTAAATGTAAGAAAGAAAATAAGTACAGTTAAAAAAGCAAACCTATCATTTTGTAATTATATAAATGCAGATAACCTTTCTAGGAATATGCTTAATAAATATAGAATATCTCTGTAAAAATATTACTTAATTATATTAAATTTGTCAAATATAGTATAATACTGAGGATTGCATTTTACACATAAATTTTCAAAAAGCATAACAAAATGTGACTGTATAGATGTATTATATTTCAACAAAATACTACTTGTATAGTATTTATATTTGATTAATATAATAATAATTTACAAAACATTTTCAATGTATGTGCGTTTATACTCGTCAATTATAAACTGTTTAATATTAATTATACTAAAATTGAGAGAATGACTAGTATTATCTTCCAATATCATTAATTATATGTAGAGTAAAATTTTATCTACTAGAAAGTAACTCTATTTACTTTCTCTTTCTTGGTAAAGAATAAATGTATATTATCTTGTAATTCATTTTACGTTCATAACATCAATATTACTTGTTACAAATATATTGGTTTTAAACAAAACATCTATTTTGACCATAATTTATAATATCGTCAATTCATAATAACTAAAAAATAAATAAAAATTTAACAAAATCATTGTTGTGTATCACATAACTATCAAACTATTGTTTTCTACTAATATGTTGATTGCAATATACAAGAAATAAGATAACTTCTGCATACAATTCTATATTAAAATATTATGAAATGTTGGTATATCGTCCTTAACTAAGACCCAATCTCCTTCTTCTTCTTCAAGAGCAGCAGATGTGGCAGATTCCTTTGCCAAAGCTACAAACACAAAAATATCATCATCGATTGTGTTATATAAATAATATATTAATACTTATTTCAATGAGTGATTCTTTAATTACCTACCATTAAATTGAACTTCTAATTCATGATGATCTAGCGATTGTACTTGTCTAAAGTCAATGAAACTATTACCAGCTGGTGGGGTATCGTCCAACTTACTTTGTAAAAGCGTTTTTCTACATTCTCCTAGATCTTCCAATCTCTTTAATTCGGTATGATAGCTGACATCTTCCTCTCCTGACTCAGTTTCTGTATGATCACTTTGTTCTTTTTTTTCATTTGCACTCTGCTCTTCGTCCTCTACATCGTTAGGATGTACATTGCAATTAATATACGTTATAGTATCCATACGATTGGACATATTTGAATCGTCATTTTCTATTTGACTGTTTTTCATATATTTCGATAAGACTGAATCAAAATCGAGAATATTAGCTAATAGCTTTTCCTTATTTTCTACATCTCGTTGGATTCTTTCCAGATCACGATCTGATTTTAGTACACAGTTATCATCTATACTCAACGATAATAACGAGGAGTGGGTCGTCATCATTGCTTCGTTGGCATTTGTGTTATCAATACTTAGGTTACTCGACGAATATTCTGTAGTGGATGGCGATATGACATGGCCGTTTTCGTTTACCGTTTTATTATGGGACTTTCTCTGTTTTCTCTTAGGTGTGAAAACAACGTCTTCAAATTCCTGTTGACCGATTTTTCGGAATAATTCTCGACGATCATTGCTCTTTTCATCTTTTACACTTTTTCTTCTATCTTTATGTTCCAATATTGTATTAATATGCGTTATAAGAGGAATATTTAAATCTAATGGAACTATTGGTGGTATTTCCACAGCTTCTTCCGCGCTAACAACTGTATTATCGTCAGCATTAATAGTAACTGGTGCAATGCTGCAATGTGATTCATTTTCATTAACTTGCTAACATTAATAACATCAGGTTTTAAAAAGTTTTCTTTAAAAAGTAACTTATTATCGTTATTTATTTTACCATTATTAATAAAGTTGTTTATTATCATTTTACTTAAGAAATACGTTGTTACAATTTTCCGTTACTTCATCAAAATTAAAAATTTTTTTCACTATTATGTGTTCCATATATGTGTATTTTATGTATATAATGATAAAAATATTTATCGTTATCTTCATTAAAAAATGTAATTGTGTTACCATTATTAAGGAAAAATACATTGTTATCAAATTGTTATGAAAAAAAAATGTATTTTTGTAACGGTGTCACGACGTTACAAGTAACGTCCCAGACAGCACAATGTCCAAAACTGGGACATAAGATGTTTTTAAGACATCTTTAAGACAACTTGAATTCCTTGTCCACAATCTTGCTTTAATTCTTAAGCCGTAAGAAATTGATCAACCACAGTTGATTATTTTTAAAATAATATATTGTGGTTGGTCAATTTATTAAGGCTTAAAGATTTAAACAAGGTTGTGGACAAGGGGAAAGACGTCTTATGTCCATACGTTTTAAAGTCGACTTAAAGACATCTTATGTTCCAGTTTTGGACATGTGTGCATCTAGGTTACTTCCTAACCTTGAATAACATCAATGTTTTAACACTAAGTGATATATAGGTTTGGTGATATAATGATTTGATTTCAATACTGTGTTTGGACATTCAAAAACCAATTCTCCTATTAACCTTTAGATCGTCAGAAAGTCTAAATATAGCGCGATAGATATTTTGTACATGATATATCTATCCCCTTGTCCACAACCTTGCTTTAATTCTTAAGCCGTGAGAAATTGACCAATTATTTTTAAAATAATATATTGTGGTTGGTTAATTTATTATGGCTTAAAGATTAAAGCAAGGTTGTGGACATAGACATAATATACATAAATTCCGCATACAGCCAGAAAAGTGAAGCCAAAATGTACAGCCCCTCTGTTCTCTGTCTTTTGTTGTACAAAGTATATAATCAAATTTAAGTAAGACTTTTGCTTGCCAGTCTAATCGGGGTACCGTTGCGCTCTATAATATTATGAAAACGAGAAATCGATGTATGCGCAACAAAAAAAATAAAAAAGTAGGGAGAAAATTATAGCTCTTCTATTCTCGCTCTCTTTCTAGATGTTGACTTCACTCAATTAGACGATAGAACAAAAGGTGTTCAGAATCCATGTATACTATGTCCATGGTTATGGACAAGGGGTTAGATATAAGGTACAACTTTAGATAACTTTCTTTGCGGATTTGAATACTTAAAACCCTGATATAAAGGGATTTAAACTTAAACATCTACCTTTGTTTTGAACTGCATTGAGAAGAAAGTATCCAAATTATATTAAAACTAAGTGTATATGTATATTTGAAAATTATTTTCTAACTTACCCTACAGTTTGAATAATATTGGTTGAATCAATTTTATGAAAGGGAATAGCTGGTACTACAGTACTCTCCTTTAATTTTGAAGTTAATTCTAATAAACCAGTGACAGGTTTACTATATTCTGCAAATGATAAAGGATCCAACGTGTTTGTTTCTCCTGTTATGAAAACAAAAATTCACAATAACTCACTAATTATATTCGATTACATTCTAGAAATAATAATTACCTGATGTAAAATTATTATCTTCCGGATAATGAGCTATACGCAAAATATTTCTTTCTCCTTCCAATATAAATATTTCGTCTTTAGTACAAGTTACATCGGTAACGCGCCTTAAATCAGTTACAACTGATGTTATCGCGATAGTATATGGATTTACTACATAAATTACATCATCACTGTATGTTATTAATAAATCATCACAAAATGGTAATACAATGCCAAAAGAAGGTTCACTACGATTTTTCCTCGATCCTACTGGCGCGGGATTTAATAACTCTACTTCTGTATGACTGGATCTGACTGCGTCCTGTACGAAATATATTTACAATTTAATAAAAATTACAAAATTGATTTACAATAAGTTAAAAAATAATTACTAGGAACATTTCTCATATTAAATTTTAACCCGGTACCTTGAATATGAGTGTTTTCAATACAGTTCCAACTTTATCAGCTTGCCATAAGCGCAAGCCTGGTCTACTAGCATAGATAATTGGTTCTTGCACATAATTCTGTCGAGAACCAAATACTGCACCTAATTTACCTAATCTGTAGATGCCAAAATATCATTTTATATTTCTTTAATACTTACGTTACAATATGTATGTGTGCAATTTCAAATATACTAACGTTTTACGTTCTTTTTGGCCAACTTGTATTACTTTTCCATTTTCATTTCTATTTACCAAAATTGTACGTAATGTAGTTGAAACCAATAATAAACCTTGTTGGTAACTCAACTGTACCACTGAATATTTTTCATTTAATAACTGTGATGACTTAGATAAATGCTATAGAAAATAATGCAAAATGTTCAATGATTTCTATACTTGTAAAAAATAGAATTATATAAGAACAGATTTTTTATATTTATTATACATACCATATAAAAATCAATCTCTGTTAAAACTACTAGACCATTCTCATCTCCACTAAATAATTTCATACCATTTTTAGACCACTCAACTGCTGTCACTGCATTTTTATGCAAACCATTTATGCTATACCTTTCCACCTTATAAATAATGTTAATAAGACATTTACTTAATTATTATAATATACTTAATTTACAATGATACTTAATTTTACAATGATACAAATCTGAATTGATATAGTTCTTTACCTGCTTTTTTTGTTTTGGTTTTAAACTATCTGGTAATGTATCTGGTGGACTTTTGGGAATTTGAAAAACTGTAATTACTCCATTCTCATTACCAGCAGCAACCATATAATCAACAGTAGATATTACTTGCACACATGTGATCTTGGAATATGCATTCTTTGAGAAAAAGAAATGTATTGTCTATTTTAACTTAATTTATAATGTTTGAAGAGGAAAATAGTTAAAAAAAATTTTTTTTATATACCTCACAACGAAGCCTTTGTAAATCCTGCTTTTCTCTATTATACCAGTAGACAAGTCCACGATTAGTCCCAATAGCAATAAACTCAGGAAGTGCAGCAATGCAAGTAAAACTGACATCTTGCATAAAAATTCCAGTTTGTATCTTGGCAGGTATTTGTTGTAAGAGCATAGAAAGCGGTGCCCATTCTCTCAATGGACCACCATCTTCACATATAGGTGTTGCCATTGCTACAACTATATATTTCACAATAACATTATTATTTAATTATACAAATTTTATAAAAAACTAGAAAAAAAATTGTGTAACATAATATAACCTCTAATATAAATGATAAAATTTTACTGATAATCTTACATGCGTATACCTAATTAATGTACTTTACTTGACGCACAATTACAATATGCAGTATTGATACATTTAAAATGTATTTTTACAGTATACATAAAAATAGGATTATTCACTCGGATTTAGGTTAAGCTGATAAACGATAAAAAAATAGCTTGTGGAAATCAATGAACTATATAATCCTTATGATTTTTTTTCTTTTCAATATATCGTAACGTTTTCATTATAACGAAACATATGCAATTATGTGTGTGCACTAGTATACTACAAGTGTACGCACGCGTTTTTTATTGACGTCTGTAACTGAAAGCGGGAAGAAGGTAACAAAACACATATCTGTCGTTCCCAGTGAACATAAAGCCCATTGCACATGAAATGACATTGCTATATATGTATAGCATAAGATCGTATGGACTAACAAACATCGAATATTGAGCATCAAGTGTTATGTCCCGACAGGTTGCGGCCACGCTGCCGTGAAGAATAGCGCTTGAACCCTAGCACGGGATCAGATCGCAATTTTTTGGGCCAAACGAATCGCGTGATTCTACCCGGGGATCCGTGCGATCAAGGGTAGTCGCGATGGATTTCGCGCAAGACACATAGTATAAGCCTTCGGGTGCTATTTCACTTGTCGTACGACAAACTTTTCGGATACGTTTATTGGTTGGCGAATAGAGTATTTCTAGGTTCTCTGTTCGTCTAGGGTCTCTGTTCGTCAACCAATGAACGTATCCAAAAAGTTGTCATACGACACGTAAAGCCCATTCTACAATTGCGTAAGCGTAGTCGTGAACGTAAGAGTCAACCAATCCGAATGTTTTATTCAATGATTGCTTTACTCTGATAGGGTCGTAATCACTTACAACCACTTACAACCACGTTCACGCAATTGTAGAATGGGCTTAAAATATCAGCCTTACGGTAAATCGGACAGTCGCACGCGTTAATTGTAGTTTCGCACGTATAGAAACAATGTAGTGAATAATGACTTACCAGCGGTCGTCCACCACGCAGTTGCTCTTTATACCCCTGGGTGGCGCTCTCGTGGCTTACGTGGATCGGCCTCCTGGATCTCTAGATGCTGCCGATTCTGGGGAACCTCGTTCTGGGTAGCGATCATGAATCTTTTCCCTTAGTGTGAACTCGTGAAAAGTGAAAATTTTGTAATGAACTCGTGAAAGATAAAAACCTTCACTAAACTCGTGAAAAATGAAAGATTTAACGTGAATTTGTAAGTAAAACAAATATTACAACATACTCAAGACAACACCAATTTGCAATAGACATCTTTAGAATTTTTTCAGCATGTTTTTAAGACATAATGATGTCTTTAGAACGTTTCTTGGAAATCTGCTTGTCTGGGATTACTTTAGAATAAATTATTAAAAGATAAAATATTCTATTCATATTAAAATTATAAATCTGCAGAAAATATATATTTCATATAAAATAATACATAAAATACATGTAATAAATACATAAAATAAATTTACATTTTACTTACTGGATACAATTTATAATATATTACACTTTAACTTTT